AGTGTGTCACTCCTCGCCCCTCCTTTTAAAGCCCTGCTTCCCAGTGAGAGTCTTCCCTAGGCCAGGGTTTCCAGGCATTCATTTGCATGAATCCCACAGGTGCTTCAATTGGGAGGGCCTGGCCAAACCTTATGCGCGGGAAGTGCGGAGCGGGATGCAGGGATGGGGCGGCAGTTGCACCCCCGGCGACTCCGCCCCTGCCGCGCCTCCCGGGCCGCCAGCCTGCAGCCTCTCGGAATCCACGGCCTAGGTGTGGCGCCCCGGCCGGACTTTCACTTCTGGCCCGCCTTTTTCCCACCTGGCCACGGGAGCGGGTGCTAGTCTTTAAGCAACCTCTCGATGGGTCCCACGAAGATGTTTCCAGACCCTTGGAATGCCAAGTTCAACTTTAGCTATGTCCCGCGGAGAGGCTGGTGGAAGAAGCAACGAGGTGATCTTTCCTGCTTGGCATCCTGGAACCCCGCGACCCTCCTCCTCGCAGGGGTCCCGGGACCCTCACCCTCTCAAGCAGGTACCGGCGTCTTGAGGGGGCGCGGGGAGGGGGCGTTCTCGGGTTGCTGCTACCCAGCGGGGCGCCTGCTTGCAGTTTGTGAGAATGCGGCTGAGCAAAGGTTAGAAAAGGGAAAAGATCAGGGATCCACGAAGCTAATGAATTCTCAGCGGCTGCACACCGTCGGAACCTGGAGGCTCGGGGGCTTTTCCTGGAGCCGGCACAGCAACTCCAAGTGAGCTGAGTTTCCCTCCCTCCCAACCTCCCAACCGCGCACTGGGCCCTCCTCCCTGCCTCCCCATCCCTGCATCCCGCCCCGCACTTCCCGCACGTGGGTGTAGCCGGGCCCTCTCTACTGAGGCAAGAGTGCCCTAGGAAAAGCCGCCCCTGTACCGGACAGAGAGTGGAATAAGAGCACCTCCTCCCATCCCTACTCGGGCCTGCACCCAGAGCACCGGAGACACAGCGGCTCTGTCTTGGAGAACAGGTGCTTCAATTGGGAGGGCCTGGCCAAACCTTATGCGCGGGAAGTGCGGAGCGGGATGCAGGGATGGGGCGGCAGTTGCAGAAGTAAAGCCCAGGCATGCGGTTGTGGGGTGGGGGGAATCTCACGTGTGATCCCAAGTGCGGAACCCGCTGCTGGGAATGGGGTGGAAGCAAAACAGGTACTGCACGCCCAGGCGAGGTGCCTCGTGGGGAGTCGAATGTCATGGGTGGTGGACAGTGCGGAACCCGCTGCAGATGGGAGGCAGGTGCTGGGGGCTCACGGGAGATAACTCAGAGGCAGGCTCCGTGGAGAACCCAAGGCGGGCGATCAGGTACAGGTGGCCACAGGCCCTGGAGGCATACAGCGTGGGGACGAGGTAGGAAGAAGGCGTATGCCCCAAGAGCTCAACCTGTGCTGCATCCAGGCCAGCTGTCACCCAGGGTATGGGCTGCAGATGCCCTAGGATCCTTGCTGATGCATGATGCGTACTGGTGCCCAGCATGAGAGTCATGGGAAGGCAGCACACAGCCCTGGCTCTCTGGCCCAGGCCCCTGATACCAGGCCAGAGAAAGGCCCGTCACTAAGAGCTCATTTTCCCCTGGCCGGAGACCCGGGGTCTGTGGACTGCAGCGCTAGAGTCCATGCCCAGGTACCCGTATTCCTCAGCGGCCTCTGCCCACTGACCACCCCAGCTCTCTCCCTCACTGCTGAACAGTCAGGACCTTACTTGACAAACACGCATAGTTGTTCGAGGAGGAGTGAATGTACTGTGGATGGATGCAGGCTTTTGCTCATTGACATCACTGCCTACCCCACCATCTGCTTGCCTTCTGGCCATGCTTCAAGCAAGCACTTTAGATGCTGGACTGTCTTCTGCGAATGTGGCTTTGAGCAGCGCTAATAACAAGAGCTACATACACGGCCTCACTGTGTGCCAGGCACTGCACTGTGTACACTCTTACCTGTCCTGGTCGTTCAATAATCAAATATGCAGATCTAGGAGGTTGCTCTTACAGATGGGGAAGTTGAGGCAGAGAGAGGCAGAATAACTTGCATAAGGGCACACAGCTAGAAGATAAGCTAGCAGCTGGGAAGTCAGCCTCCAGAGCCCAGGCAGGGAAGTGTTTTGCTAACTGTCTGCTGTGAGCCTCTGTGGTTTCCAGGGCCTCAGTTTCCCCATCTAAGTTGAGAGAGGGGTGGGGTTGATCCTCCCAGCAGCTGTTCAGTGTGTCACTCCTCGCCCCTCCTTTTAAAGCCCTGCTTCCCAGTGAGAGTCTTCCCTAGGCCAGGGTTTCCAGGCATTCATTTGCATGAATCCCCTAGAGAGCCTATTCAAAGGCAGGTTCTGACTCTTTAAGTTTGAGGTTCTGTGTTTCTAAGTAGCCCGGGTGATGCTGATGCCTCATTCATGAATGGCACTCTGAGGAGGAGGGGCCTAGGTCGTTTCCCTGGGAATGCAAGGAGGACCTCTCTTCAAAGAGTTCTGCGGCCAACTAACAAACCACCGGTCCACGGGGGTGCTGCTTCAGACAAGCTTGCCTAGTGATGGACTGGAAGAGGCCAAGTCAGTGCAGAACTCCTGAAGGTTATTAAAAATCACTGAGTTACCGTTAATCAAGAAATGCTTTAAAGCAGTTGGCTATGTCCATCCAGGGCACTGTGTGCTTGGGAGGGTGGATGTGAAGATAGTGCCTACAGCTGAGTAGGAAGATGAACCTACACTAGCCACAAGGCAATGTGGGCTGAATGCCCAGGCAGCACTGGTTCAGGATGCAGGTACAGGTTTCCAAGAGAGGAAGTGGCTACTTCCTAGCAAGATATCCAGGGAAGGTAACCCAAAGGAGGAAGACTTTGAAGTGGGCCATAGCAGTGAGCCGGTCAAGAAGAGGGGAGGAATAGGATATGAGAAACACTGGGAGTCTTGGCCTCTAATTGGCACCCTTAGGTACATTTCATCAGGATTCCCTGGGCCGCTCCTACCAGAAAGAGACTATCAGAAGTCAGACTGCTTGCTGTCACCCTGCCTTAAGCAGAACTTCTATCCCCACCAAGGAATGTCTGACCTGGGAAGAGGAGTGATCTCCTGGGCCCTGTGCTATAGGCTGCCATGGCCACCTCTCACCTGGTCCAGCTGCTGGCCTTGGGGCTTCCAAGCAAACTGAGCTGGTCCATGCTGAGGTCCCATGAGGCCAGCTTCTGCACCTAAAGTTTACAGCTAGGTAGGAAAACAGCTCTTCCAACTCCCACTTACAGCCCTTTCTCACCTAAGAACTTGAAAAATTATGTCTATGAGTCAGTTGGGCAGACAGGTGAGATGCCCTCAATTTTGTACTTTAAATCTCTCCCACTGTGTGAATCTTAGTCCCTGGTGCTGCTCACTGAGCCTAATTCCTTACCTCCTGATGATGTTTCCCCAAATCCCCTTGCTCCCAGGTTAACAACTCCCACCCCCAATGTCTCCTAGCAATGGGCTCCATGTGCAAGAATTCTCTACTACATACAAAGCGTTCATTCATGTATTCTTCCATTCATTCATTCATTCTTTCATTCACTCACTCACTCACTCGCTCAGCAGATGAACGAATGTCAGAGTTAGGCTCGGAGTTGGCGATGGAAAAACAACGAAAGGCAGGCTTTGAAGCTAGAAAGTGCCCTGTGGGTGATTTAGGTAGAACTATCCAAAGGCCATGACCAGATTGGATGAGCTTGTGAGAAATGGGAGCAGAGAAACCAGCTATAACTTCTTGCAACTGTCCCGGCTTGAAACACTAGAAGATTCACTTGAAAATTACTAGCGCTTTTGGCAGGGGCATTCATTCAGTGTTCAGTGGGCAGCTGCGCCCTGCTGCAAACATGGTAGGCACTAGGAAGACAACAGTCAGCAAGGCAGGCTCTGTGCCTGAGAGGCCCCTGGGACGCGGAAGGAGATAGGTTCATAGTCAGGTCACCCCTCCAAGGCTGCAGAGTGCTGGAGAACAGTCCTTCCCACAAAGGTCCAGGCTTGGGGTAAAGAGCCTCCCAGACCTGGGGCTGCTAGGAGACCTGCCCAGAGGGTCCTGGAGGAGGAGAGGGGGGAGGGAGGGCAGCATTCCATATTTAAAGGTCTAGAGGTGCAAAAAGGCTCAGAAAATTCCAGATGCAGGAATTTTAATGAAGCTGGAGCACAGACTGCCTCTCTGTGGGGATAAGTGCGAAGGGGAGTGAGAGAAGTAAGAGGGGTCAGACTTTCTGGTACAGAGAAGAAAGCTGACCTCGGTCCAGAGGGGACAGGAACACTCGAGTCTCCTCCTGAGAGTGGCTGGATCAGGGGTGTGCTTAGACCCCAGGCAGCAGTGGAGGAGGTGGGAGTGGGGAGGTTGCAGGGAGCACTGCTGTCAGAGGCTGGGCAAAAGTCCTGGTGAAGAGCAGTGAGGGCCTGGTCTGAGGCCCAGATCATGCAGAAGTGATGCAATTCAGGGACTAATGGGACTGAAGACTGGCCCAAGGTGACTTGATGCTGTCAGACTGGGATACTGAGTGGACACAGGGAGTCTCAGGCACAGGGAGACAATATGGAACTCGGTTCAGGACATCTCAGTGGAGATTCAGGGCTCAAAAGGGATAGAGTGTCTGGGGTTGGAGACTTGAGTCATGTCAGGGGCTTGTGCACAGGTCATCTCAGGAGCTCTCAAGTGTTTAGGGAAAGAGGACAGAGCCCTGGGGACAGTGGCACTTAAAGGGTCTCTGTCTCATGCCACAGGTGGGAAGGCTCAGAGAAGTGCAGAAGAGAGCACCTTGGCAATATCTAAGGCCATAAGGCCAATTAGGACAAGGGTTAAACTTAAACAATTAGGAGAGACTGTTAAACTTGTTGGGTAGGCGGTATATGCAGTGGTCTAAGCAGGAACAGCTCTATTATTACCAGGCGGGGATGGCAGCTCCACTCTAATGGTCAAGTCCTAAATGGTGAGTAAGGGTAGAAGTTTTCCCACTGGCAAGCCCCCTGAAAACCTTGGCCTCCTAGTCTGGAAGATATTAGGTTGGTGCGAAAGTAATTGCGCCTTTTGCATCAAAATGTCAAGAGCCGCAATTACTTTCGCACCAACCTACAGTTGGGGGCTGCAATTTTGAGGGATCACATTTCCCACCATATTTATCAGGATAGGAATAGGTATGTCCAAGAAGGCTGAATTTGGTTTGGATAATGAAATTAACTTAAGTGTGTCCTACTAGAGTGCAATGCACACTTTTCCAACAATGAGAGCTCACAAACCTGGATATCCTGGTACCTAGGAAATCAGAAGTGGGCTGGCACAGGAAGCAGTGAGACAGACACAGCATTGGAGCAAGTTTCTCTCCAAAGACTGGCAGAGTGCCCCAGCAGAAACTGAAAGCAGTGGAAAGAAAGGTCAGAAACCCCAGGAAGCTCCCTCCCCTAGACTGACACAAGACCTTTCCTGTGAATAGAAACTAAAAGGGCAGTTCAACATCACGACATGATTGGGAACAAGGCTCCATTATATCTAATGTTTGAAACAACCAAACCCACCAGTACTAGGCTGACCACAGGACTGAGAGGGCGGAGGGCCCAGAGCAGCAGTCTTTCTGGCTCTGTCTTCCCAGGGGCTTGGCTTCTCCCATGTTCATTCATGAGCAGATCCACTGGGCCAGGCCAGCCCCTTCTTGGTCCCTTCTGTGCTAGCACCTCTTTCCTACTCTTCGCCCCGTACCCCTTTATACCACCAAGACAGGAATCTCAGATACTCTATTTACTGACTGGCAGATTACATTTGAGAATGGTTTCTCCACCAGCCATCAATGTTGTCAAACTCATTCATCCCTGAATTCAGCAAATATGTGACAATATACTGCCAGATACTGTGGACAACAGGAAAACCATCTGATGGCCAGGTGTTTAGGCTTTAGCAGGCTTGTACAGGGGGCTCACATTGCTTGCCCATCCTGTATCCATTGGCCCCTCTGATTTTGCTTTGGAAAACCACCCCACATTAGAGCAGCCATGTGATCTCATTGGGACCTACTCTGCCTCTAGGCCAGCATAGGTGATCTCACAGTTCATTACATCAGATGGGCAAGCCCAAGCCACTCAATGTGTGGCTTTCCCCTGCCCACTGTGATTAGTTGAGG